TAAAAGCTATCATGTAGAATTGAAGGTCAGATGAAGAGCTTCACAGACAAGAAAAAGCTAAAGGAGTTCATCATCACCAAGCCAGTATTATATGAAATGCTGAAGGATATTCTTTAAGATGAGGAAGAGTAAGAAGAAGAAAAAAAGATTAAAAAATGTGAAATGGCAATAAATACAGATCTATCAACAGTTGAATCTAAAAATCAAGATAAACAAAGAAGCAATCTAATGAACAGAATGGTGAATAAACAGAATCTGAGGCCTGGAGGAACGGAACAGACTGACAAATCTGGGGGGGGAGGGGGGGTGCGGGGGAGAGGGCAGGAAGAGATCAAACAAAGATCTTACCTATGGATACAGACAACAGGGTGGTGAAGGCATGGGGTGGGGCAGAACTGGGTGGAGGGAGGCAATGGGGGGAAGAAGGGGGAACATCTGTAATACTCTCAACAATAAAGATTTTTTTTAAAAATCTGACATTTTAGGAATACATAGGACACAATAGACTTCAATGTTCTCCTTTCTTCAACAGGTTTATTGCCTTTTAAGAAAATTTTTGTAAAATATAAATACAAAGGCAGAGAATTTACTTACAAAGTTAAAACACAGATTTCAAACATAAACACACAATTCAGAAAATTTTAGTTTTATGTACATTTTCAAGCAACCTCAACATATTGTTAGTTTTCAATATTTTACAGGGTACAGAAAAAAATAGCTCAAAGTCTTCTTTAAATAAGAGCATAAAATGTTTAAACATATAAACAATCCGGTTTGATGCGTGAAAACTAATTTCACAGCTTTTAAATTAGGATATAAAAGTTTCATACAATTAGTTGTTGTGTGTGGATATGGTTTGAATTTATATTACACGCCACTGGATTGCATCCAATAGCATTTACCTGACCCGAGCAGGTACTCTGTAAACAAAACATAAAGTTACAACATCACCGAATTCACCCCCAAACCAACCACACAGTTGCGACCACACTACATGGTTGCGGCCTCGGCCATCCATCGGAGCTTTTGTGTGAAATTAAGTCAAAGTGTTGCGCTCCCTTTCCTCATTTTTTTTTTTCTCCTTAAAAAAGAAAAGCAAAAAAACAAATCTTCCAAGAAAAAAAAACACAAACATATCCCAAAGCATGTGTGCATGGACAAGTAAAGGAACGTTATAACAACTTCATAAAAACTGACTTAAAAGTTTAAAAAGAAAACAAAAACACGTTGCTAAGTCCTTCCGACTGGGGCCGTTTCTCTTATATAAAGAAGAGATATTTCCATATGTAATAGTGTCCTTTCTTTACAGAAATAGCCGTATTATGACACATATGCACAAGGATTAACACTATAACACACTGTACAGGAGGCCGGGCGGCTCACCAGTAGTCGTCCGAGCCCGTGTCGCTGGGGTGCAGCCACTCCACGGTGGAGCCCAGCAGGCTCTGTAGCTCGCCCGTGAACTCGACCAGATCCAGGAGCTCCTTGCTTTCGGGGTTAAAGGCCTCCAGGTCTTTGGAGCAAGAGAACAGGAGACTGGCTGAGACCTGCCGGTAGAACTCGGCCTCGGCGATGGTGACGATCTCCACGTTGGGGAAGTTGCAGCGGAAGATCCGGGAGGACATCTTCAGCTTCTTCAGCACGTCCGACAGCAGCAGCCAGTTGCGAGGCCTGCGAGGGCGAGGAAAGCCGTTCGAGCGCCTGGCAGCGTGCGAAGCGCTACCTGCCACCCGGGGAGCTCGGTCCCAGGTGGGACAGGGCCACCCCCTCTGCCTGGACACCACTCGCCCCAGCACTTCCCGCCCAGAACAGGGAATCTAGTTCTTGCCACTCTCTTCTGGCTGCATCTCCATTTATCAAGAGGCCACTTAGGGTCCGGCCCGCGTGGCTCAGGGGTTGAGTGTGGACCTAAGAACCAGGAGGTCACGGTTCGATTCCTGGTCAGGGCACAGGCCCAGGTGGCGGGCTCGACCCCCAGTGTGGGACGTGCAGGAGGCAGCCGATCCAGGATTCTCTCTCATCGTGGATGTTCCCCGCTCTCTCTCTCTCCCTCTCCCTTCCTCTCTGACATCAATACAAATACATTAGGAACAAACAAGTAAAAGAGGCCCCTTCGGGAGGACCACGCAAGTCAGCCAGAAGCCGAGCAGCAGTTGTGAAGGAGCCGCAACAAACTGCTGCGTCACAGGTGCTGGCGTTGATGGAAACTGACTCAGGTCCTCGCTCTCCAAGGGAGGAGGCCAGGCACAGCCGCCTGATTTCTCCTCCCTCCACCCTCTCAGAGAGAGCATCATGAACACAGGCGGGCTCTCCTTCCTTTCCCACGCCCGCACCCCGGCCCGCGGTGCGCCTGCGGGAGGTGTGCTCCATCCCTCACGCACGTCCTGCCACCCTCTACGGTTCCTGTTACTAATAGGACGTCACTGTGTACATACTTGTTTCCCGCCTTGGGGCCCGAGGAGGGTGTTACTCATTCAGCACCATGTGGACACACAGCAGAGAACACAGTCTCCTCACAGGTCCGCCACAGGTGCAGTGACCGGGCGCCTCACAGCGCTTTTCCTCATCGGATACAAGGGCATGTCCCCGATGACATAGATCAGGGGACCGCAGTGCCCTGGAAGCCTCCTTGGTGGCCCGTTGGAGGGACTTAGGATCCCTTTCCAAAGAGTTTAGTGACTGAAGGCTCCAATAGTGGAAACTTCCAGGTCCTTTGAGCTCTGGGGGTGTATTCTTTTTTTAAAAAAATATATTTTTATTGATGTCAGGGAGGAAGGAAGAGGGCGAGAAACATCAATGATGAGAAGCATGGACCGGCTGCCTCCTGCAGGCCCCACACTGGGAATAGAGCCCTCAACCCAGGCCTGTGCCCCTGACCGGGAATTGAACCGTGACCTCCTGGGTCATAGGTTGATGCTCAACCACTGAGCCACACCAGCCAGGCTCTGGGGGTGTGTTCTGATGAGAGCAGTTACCAACCATGCTGTGTCCCCACCCCCACCCCTCTTCAGGGAAAGATCTGCATTTTGAGTTTGAGGGACACTTTGGAATTCCCTCCCCCCACCCATCCTGCTCTGTTTCAGGGGATTTCTAACTCCGCCCCCCAAGAGCAGCTGAGCCAGTTCCCAAGCACACGACAGCCATGCTCACCCCTGAGCGACAGACACTTGGACGTTGTAACACGGTAAGAGGGGGCTTTCTGAAAACTCAAATTCGAACACATCACTGTAGGCCTCGTCATCCTCCTGCAGGTCCTCTGGCCCCGGGGGGTTCGCTAACACGTCATATCCACTTTCATCGTCCGGCTCTAGAGGAGGGCGAGCGAGAGAGCGAGAGAGCGAGGCATCAGGCACAGCCAGACTGTGTCAGAGAAGGACTCAAAGACTCTTTCACAATGAGCCCTGCCTGTGGCACCCACACCCTCACCACGCGTTTCCCGCTGAACCAGAAAGAGGGATGCTGCTCACCACACACGGAGCTGCCGTAAAACTCCCAGAAGCTGCTGGAGTCCTCATCGTTGCGGCCCTGCAGGTCTTTCAAATAGTCTGGGGAGAAGGAGGGTAAAGCTGCTGGTGAGAACCAGGTGCGGGAGGCCGGGGGGCATCTCACCCCCAGTCCACCCAGGGTGTATCCTGTCCCACACTATTCCCTGCCCGCCCCTCCCCACCAGGGATAGACCCCCCTTGCCCTCATCAGCCCCTCGCCCAGCAAACCAAAGCTAGACGGGCAAGCTAAGGATGTTTTCCGCCCTCACGGGCAAAAATAAAGCTGGCACCTCCTCTCTGCATTCCGTATCTGCTCTTTCCGAAACTAACGACATGGCGTGACCCAGTAAGTAAACGAGGTAAACACGAATGGACCCACTGAGCGAGTGGCCAGGAGCTCGGGGAATCCCCACCCCGGGGTTCGAATGAGGTCATGGCGTGAACTCTGTCGTACCTGTTAGAAACCTTTCCATGAGTTCGCTGTGCGTCATCTTCATGATGGTTCTACCTGAGTACGTAGCCAGAGTGGGGTCAGCACCATAGGAGAGGAGCAGGCGGACGATCGCCAGGTGGTCGTTCTCGACCGCATCGTGGAGGGGCCTGGGGGACACGGGCAGAGGGTCAGCTCCCTCTAACAACATGGACACGTGTGATGCCACTGACACTCCCGAGAGGGACACTGAGGCAGTGACTGGCCCAAGGTCAAGCAACGTGTCTACTATTCCAGGCCTAATTCTCAAAGGCAAATGTACCTTAATTCAGGGCCTAAGGAGGGACACAAGCCAAAATGAAAACGTTTTCAATGAACTTTAGTTGAGATAACTTACAGGAGAGAAAGCCCACCATTGTGGAAGCCAATACAAGCAAGCCCTCTGCCGTTATAAGAAAAGCCCAGCCTGGCCGGCGGGCCTCAGTGGGTGACCATCAACCTATGAATCAAAAGGTCAGGGTTTGATTCCCGGTCAGGGCACAGGCCCGGGTTGTGAGCTCAGTCCCCAGTGTGGGGCGTGCAGGAGGCAAGCCGGTCCATGATTCTCTCTCATCATTGATGTTTCTCTCTCTCTCCCCCTTTCCCTTCCTCTCTGAACTCAATAAAATAAACAAAAACAAATAAAAAAGGCTCAACATTTTCAGACTTTTGTCCAGGGGAACATTCCACCATCCATGTGCTGCCATGTGACTCTCCATCTTTCTTTCTGGGGTTGCCCATGTACCCTAAAAGCCACTGCCTGTGCCCCGCAGCCCGCAGGCCCAGGCTGCCACCAAGACCCGCAACTGACCTGGTTCCGTCCTGGGCACTGCAGTTGACATCAGCACCGTATTCAAGAAGGTGTCGCACGATGTTCAGCCACCCCCTGGCACAGGCTTCATGCAGGGCACAGTATCCGGCATTGTCGCGGTGGTTAACGTCACAAATCTTATTCTCCAAGCAGTACAAGACCACCTCCTGCGGGGAGCGAAGGGGGACCGCCGTCAGCCCGCCACACAATGCACCTGGTCAGGGTGGCTGAGGCACCCATCCTTGGGTCCGAGAGCACGTGTGAAGGGCTCAGTGACGGAGAGAGTGTCCTCTGGGCTCTGCAGGCTGGTGACTGTACGCGAAACCAGCAGCCTGGCCCTGGGCAAATTACCCTTGAACTTCTCCTCGTGTCCATTTCCTCCTGAGATAGGAGAGTCATGGAAGCTGTAAAGGCGGCGGGAGGATGCCATCAGCTAGCTGAGGCCTCAGGCCAAGGCTTGTCTTGGCCGGGACAGGTGTCCGGCTCTAATCTCTTAGATGACACACGGACAAGTACAGCCTGCGGCGCACACGCTCCCGTTCGTATGTTGAGTAGAGGAAGAGCGAAGCTCTGTCTGTGCATCACCAAGAAATGACACAAAATGCTTCGCATGCACCCCCCGCCCCCATTTTGCCTCACCGTCCACCCACTTGGGGCTGAATGAATAGCAGGTTCATGTTTACTTCAGTGAATGACAGGGACTGAGATACCATACACTGGCCCTTTCTCAGAAGGAGTTCTGTCAGCAGTTTGCACCAGAATTGCTGGATTTTTACCCTTTGGCGTGTTCACAGTCCTATGAGGCGCTCCTAGCAGGCAGAGCAGTCATTTGGTCCCTGTTTTATTATTACTACCCTGACGAAGGAAGTTTTCAAACACAGAAAACGGCACTGGCCAGCAGAAGACATGCTTTACTCTTTTCCTACCAGCCACTCCCAGCAGATGGCCCGACACATGCTCCAGTGGGTCGGGGGTTGCCGCGTGGGTCACGGCAGGCCTCTCCATGACAACTCTTCGAGGCCCTTTGCGGGACATGTCAATCAAAGGTGACCCACCACTTGGGAGCTAACCAGAATGTTCCACATGAGAAGTGAAGGCTGCGTGCTGGTGAACGCGGCCAGCGGTGCCCTGTGGCTTCAGGTCAGTGCGGCAGCTCCCTTCCAAAAACAAGAGGAGGAAGGGACAAGCCATGCCCACAAATGCGCTCTCCCTTCAGATCCTAACCTGCCAGCAAGCCCACAATCCTCTGGGCTCCCAGGCCACCTGCCCCGAGCCCTGGTATCCAGGATACCGCATGAAGCTGCTGCTCTTTTAGCAGGTCCTCCCCAGCCAGGCTGGAGCGGGCGGCTGCAAGCTAATGAGCTGTGTGCCCCGCCGGGGGGAGGCCCCGTCACGTGGCCTGGGATCAGGTCTGAGCGCCACTGACTGCTGTGCACAGATCAATTTCCCCGGGGCCCGGTGGCCTGTCTGGTGGCCTGTCACCCGGGCTTTATTTGCTCTGACAATTATGGCCCTCACCTGGAAACCCTCGTCGCTGCCAGGGCTGAGCGGAGGGCACCCAGAAATGAAAGGGCAGCAGAGCCGACGGGCAAGTCAATTCCTTCCCAGGAGGGTGGCAGGAGGCAGGAGCAACCCACAGCCAGGCCAGCCGTTTTGCCACGGGCTGTCCTAGCACAGCCACGTTGCTGTCGCTATGTACACAGCACTGCTCGTTTCAATGAGCGTGCCTTCTGTCGCCTCATGCCATGCCACAGTAACCCGTGACGTGCCAGGAAGGGAAGATGGCACTGTTCTCATTCAACACTTGGGGCAACCAAAGTCCATAGAAGTTAAACCCCAAGTTCAATGAACGTGAAGTCCTGGAGCTAGAACTTGGGGCTTTTGGAATCTGGGCAGCTGGCAAGGTTCAAAAGGCCCCAGTCAGAGGGACGCAAGCCCTCCGTCAGGTCAAGAGGGCTGACTACCTTCTGGCCGGGACGGCCTCTAAATGGACAGGCGATGCCTGTCCACCCAATACATTTCTTGGTTTATTTTCTGCCCTAGAAATGGGAGCGCTTGCCGGGCAGCCCACCCGTTCCCAAACAAAATCAGTGTTTTCGTTGGACAGTTCTCTGTTAAGGGGCTATAAGCCGAATGCCATTAACCACAAAATGTAACCATAAAGGCCATAAACCCGACATTGTTAATTAATTAAATGCCTCATTAACTTTTTAAAAAACATGATTTATTCAATTCATAGAAAATTTAACCGTCGCCACTAAACGCGCAAGCATGTGGTTGCACACTGGCCTTTTAGCCCGCGAACCAGGAGCCTTAACTGGGAGGGAAGGTTTGGGCGTCTCTGGCCAAGCGAGTCGTCTGTTTAATGCAGAGGGTATCTGCAAACCTCAGGAAGCAGCTTAGCAGGACATAAGGCGCAGACGGCCTTTGGCTGCACCTGGCTCTTCGGCACCAAGTCACGACGGGAAAGACTAACTCCAGGAAAGCCCGCCCGGCCCGGTGCGTCCAAACTACACCTCCAGCGGGTTAAGCAAATTGTCCTTCAACTTTCAAAGGTTCCAATTGCCACATCTCCTGACCAGCTGCCGTCCTGACGGAAATTCTGCCTAAAGAAATCCTCGAAAGTTGGGTTTGAAGTTGAAATGGTTCCCCCAGCAGTGAAATGTTCACCGCCAGAACCGGTGACCTGCGCAATTTACATACGGAAGCAGCTGTCCGGACACAAACATTCCCAAGGTCTCAGGAGCCATCAAAGGCCTGGGAGCCTAAAAAGCATGGTCAAGGGCGCCTCGGCCCAAGCCTCCGACCCACCAGCTCTACAAAACCCAAGTGGAAGCCTCATGGAGGGGCCAACAAGGGCCTCTTGAGGTCTCTGGTCCCAAAGGGAGACTGGTGGGAACAACGCCAAGATCAAAGGCAAGGCCAGGAACCCCGAAATCCACACATGTAGAGCAGGCTGTCCTCCTGCCTCCCCTCCCCTCCCCCCACCTCCAGTGTGTGCTGGAGACACAAGTCTATTTTCTCAACCACAACTAGTCAAGGGTGCACACGTGGCCCGAGGGGTCTACCCACCCAGTCCTCTCAGTTGCTACGATCAACTCCAGGACGGACATGTTGACAAAAGCAACGCACATACAACCAACAACCAGAGAGCCCCAAACTAAGAAAGCACTGTTTCCAACAGCTTCCGCACAGTCATGCCTCGGGGGCCCGGAGACGTGGGAGCCCCAGCAGGGAGGGCTCCCTGCGCCATGGGAGCCGGGCTGTGGGAGCCAGAGCTGCAGACAAACCCCGCGGCCCTCAGCCACCAGGGCCTGCCACCGGAGCTGCATTTTATTTTCCCCATTCAACTCCCAGAGGGCTGATGCCAGCATAAAAAAATGCCTTTGCCCTGTGGGCTATTACATCACAATTTCAACTGACAGGCGTGGTGGGGGAGCCGCTGGGGCAGAGGGAGTCATCTATTGTCATTTAACCCCTCTGGGGCTGTTCCCTCATCTGAGAGCGGGATCACATTAGTGATCGGCACGGGGAGAGGTGGAAAGGGAGAAATGAGTGACTGTGGATCATACGGGCTTAGAAACACAGAAGGTGTCTTTCTTTGGATATTGCGTCAACGCCTCAGGGCATGCCAGATGGGGATATGGGGTCAGTGAGGGCAGTGATTTGGGGGCAAAACCTGAGCTCCCCTCCTCCTCAGCCCTGGGACTCTCTGTCTCCCTCAGAAAGAGGGCTCAGGTCTCCCCACCCCCTACCTGCACAGACATTTCCTGCCCGCAACCCAAAACAGAGCCAGCAACTTCTTTCCCCCATGCTGATCAGAATCCAAAAGGGCTCATTAAAATTCCCCCAGTCGCCAAGCCCTGGGTTATGTCAGATTTCATATCAGAGATAAGTGAGCGGGATGGAAGGATGCCAAGCCGCCTGCGTGCCTGGACACGGCCTGCACATCACACCGCGACTGAACAGGCCACCAGAGAGAGACGGCAGAGGAGCCGGCGACTCCGACAGCCTGTGGG